GTAAAAAAATCGGAACATCGAATATTCCAATTAAGATAATAAGAAAATGAAGGAAAATCTTAGTTTTTTTAATACAATAATTTGGAATACGGGGTGTGCGATAGACTTTCCTCCACGTGGTGTATCCTGGGCAGCGTATACTCTGAATTCGAACTACCATCACCCCATGTCATATTTGACCCCTTTCACAGTACTCATCTTACCTTTTTTTATGCCTTTGTGTCTGTCTGTCTGTCTCTTTTACATCTGTGAATCACTCTTCTCTACCTTCTTATGAATTTTTGTCACTTTGATGTTCCTCCTCCTCTCTGTGCAGCCCGCAGTCAGCTAAAGGGCTAATGATAACTATCAAAAACCCCTGCCATTTGAAATAAACAAATAAATTTGGAATATTTAATCTGAGCGAAAGTGATACATATTTTGTTGATATGCTTGAAAGCAGTGAAATTTCGTGACAGCAGAAAGGCTTCTTTCAATAGGAGTGACATATGTCATCCTTCTTTGAGGAAGGTTTTTGTGCATTAGTGAACGCCAAGACATGGCTGCACGTCTCATTATAGGCTCTCAATTAATTTCCTTCCATATTTTGCTTTAAAATACTCCTCAGTAGAGATTAGTATGACTAAAGATATGCACTTACCACTTCGTAATTAAAATAAAATTGCCCTTCCGAAAAAGTGCCATAACTCTGCAATAATTCCTGATCACCTGATTTTGATAGGTAGGGGTGGGTTGGAGGGGATGGGTTGATGTAATTAATTATTTCTCTAATATTTTTTACTGTGCCCACATATATCGATTATTTTACAATGGCTGCCCCAGTTAAATGGACAAACTCTAATATTTTATCATTAATTCCTATGGTAGAAAAATACACCAGATTCATAAATTTTCTACTATTCTATTATTGGACACTCTATCTGTACCAAGGTGTCTTGAATCCATATTGTTATCCTTGCTGTTATTTGCAAAAATAAGGCTTCTGAATTCCGGCCCAAAATCATAGATACCAGACAAATCATCTAAAAAACAATCGATCTATAGAATTGGAACACCTCAAGAAAATGGTAGGGAGACAAATTTTTACCTAGATTCTTTTGACAACTTATAATCTTCAGCTGATGAAGTGGTAAAAGTAAAAAAAACACATTTGAACAAATTTTGTGGTTTTACAGTTTGGGCCCAACAATTTGGCTGAAATAGCTAGTAGATAAGTAAAATTATGCCCATTCGAGAGGGATGAAGGTGATCAATCGATTACCATTTATCACACTACTTTACTAAATGATTGACCGACTACTTTCTTAGAGAATGAACGAATTTAATGCTGGATAGCATTATAAATGAGATGAGCTAACTGGGCCGTTTAAAAACTGCAAAATGTAGTTTAGGTAATGCACTCGGCTGTCAAATTTGTGATGGAGGAAATGGCTATGATAGCGGTCAAGTCAACCGATTGGTAATAATATGATGAAAAGAAGTGGTATATGCTAATTATTTGGTCTTTAAATAAAATAATTTATTGATAGAAGGTATACCGGATGATGCCAAAATAGAAGTAAAGCGCTTTTCCTACTATTAAATAGCTCTCCGAGAGGAAAACAATATCCACTTTGGATCTCCTTGCCATTTATTGAAATAACGCCAAAACTTTAAGCTTTGCACATTTAAACAATATGAATTATCCAATGTGCTGCACTCCTCATCATTACTGAAATGCAATAGGTTTTCGCTATAACAACAAGACCTTTTCTCGTCCTTCTTCTTCAGGTTGGGCTTTGCTCATGTTGACAAGTGCAGCGATGAGGGAGAAACGTTTTATTAAATAATGATAAATTTGAAATTATTCAGAGGAAGTAGCCCGGTTGTTGCGAACCAGTGCAGGGAGGAAGGCAGAAATGCGATGAAGCAGGAGGAAAGCTTTATGATGCTGCAATCAATTTCGTCAAAATCATGGATATAGAAAGCAGTGGAAGCTAGATTACCTCAAATTCAAGCTATATGCTGAGGCATTGCTTTAGCAAATCATTGAAAAACGAAAATATCTTCTTTCAGCAGTCTAATAGAGGTAAATCTATATTGATTACAATAGCTTACTTTCTTCCGATCAACGCAATGCTTTCATTTAAAAATCTTCTTATTGAGGTCTAGGGTTAAATTCAGCTCAACCTTTTATTCTAAAACCATCTCTAAAGGTAAATGGAGTTCAAATCACAACTTCGCTTTTCCACTCCGTTTCCATTTTCTGACACAACAAGACTATTCATACCTTTGATCCGATTTCCTGACATGTGTAAGAACAAAATACGCAGTTGCAGGCAAAATTCGGAAAATAGAGTGATTTAGACGCAAATCTGATGTCACTAAAGCGTATGTATTCAAATGTAATTCCTTGGACGAGAAGATCAAAACTTGCTGTGATGCGTGGTTCCAGCCATTGTTAAGAAAAAAACTGAAGTTGATTAAATCCCAGAGGAGGGGAGAACATTGAGATCAACCAGCAAATCCGTCCGTTTTCAAGGCATTTATTAACATGACTGAGAATCAATTTATACCTTTGACATTTAGTTGCTACCACCCAGAGGAGATTGAACCAATCATTGACTGTTACTCATTCCAAAGTCTGACGAGATAGAATATGATTGGGTAGAAAGTGGAAGTGATCTTAGATGACGTTGAATCGATACGGAACCGTCTGTATGGGACGTAGCATTGCTCCGATTCAATATCAGTTTGAAAACTAATGAAGCCATTAAATTTTTATTATTTTATTTTATCCGCCATTAACACTATAAGACTGCTCCGAATAATACGAGTATACCAGGTAAAAGATATGAAACAGCTGAATAAGTCAAAATGGGAAGAAAAATATTTAGCATAAGCCCTTAAATGAATCTATCATTTATTTCCTGAAAAAATGTTTAGTCTATTTGTAATACCTAAAAAAAGATATTAAAGGAAATATCAGATTGTACTAGAACTCACTCGGACAGGGTGGTAACCACTTAATAAAACTTGTCTGGAATAATCAAATTTGCCTACATATATGAAGGGCAATGTCTATTAAATTGTAATAAAATCACGGCTAATACAAACCAAAGAACACTAATATAGACTGAAATATTTAAAAATTACTGATTCAAATCCAATTTAATTCAGTATTTAATGCTGATTCAGCATCTAAAGTCAAACTGGCTTTCTTGAATTGTTTGAATGGCTGAATGCCTTATTCTAAACACAAGTCTATTTAATCAATCGATTTATGGGAGCTAACTGGAAATTGGTTGGCAAGGCACGACCTAATTATACGTACCGTTCGGCCTCTCGGAAGGCGTTTTCTTCACAAGCCTGAGACCGCATCTGTTGAATCTCAATGGGAACAGGCTGTCGACGACGAACATAGAGCTCATTGTTACCAATGCAAAGCGCGAGGATCTTCTTATTCACTTTCAGATTCTTGGTCATGAATACAATATCCTGGAAAAATATCATTCAAGAATGAATAGTTGCTATGTGCATAAACTAGGCAAAATACTACGCCAACTTACTGAGCTCTTTTTGTCTATTGGCTTAATTGTAAACTTGCGATCATTGAAAGCGATATTTCGGATCTCTGACCAGGGGAAGCCCACTTTTGGAGTTATCCTAAAGTACGGGGAAACAAGTCAAATTGTCAAAATATGGTCAATTTGTCAGTAATTTCCACATTTCAATTGTTCTCCGTTAGGGCGTACCCTCTATTTCTCGTTGAGTGTGGCCCTATCT